TTCCTTTATCCTTCTAGAGGTATAACGTTGTTATTACGTGCGTGATTTCCTCCTACAGTTTACAAGTAAAAACACAATGCTGTCAGAACTGGGAAGCACTTTGTACGCAATCAAGAGATTTCCCTTAAACCATATGTTTCTTCCCAAGTTCTCCTAACGCACGGTTAATCTCTTCCCAATATTTCTCTAACAAATTTCTAATCCATTGCCACCACAAAAGAGAATTCTCCAAGACATGCGGCGTCAAAACGACCACTGAACGTTCTCAAAACAGCTATCCCACCCCATAACTGATCTCTAACCCATACCAAACCCAAAATTTCAGCGTAGCTTTGCGTTCATCTGGACAATCGTTTCTTATTTGAATTATGCACAGAACACATAGTTTTACGAACAAGCCCCATCACCAGAATAGAAAATGCTTCGCATCGGCCTAGAGAATCCTTCTATACACGAAATCCGAATAGAATATGTAAACAAACGAATTCTGTTCGAGCATTCGGTTTACTGGATTCTACTACTATAATCACCCATGGTAATCAACAACTGCCTTCTTTTTGCCTGCTGNAAGAGATTTCCCTTAAACCATATGTTTCTTCCCAAGTTCTCCTAACGCACGGTTAATCTCTTCCCAATATTTCTCTAACAAATTTCTAATCCATTGCCACCACAAAAGAGAATTCTCCAAGACATGCGGCGTCAAAACGACCACTGAACGTTCTCAAAACAGCTATCCCACCCCATAACTGATCTCTAACCCATACCAAACCCAAAATTTCAGCGTAGCTTTGCGTTCATCTGGACAATCGTTTCTTATTTGAATTATGCACAGAACACATAGTTTTACGAACAAGCCCCATCACCAGAATAGAAAATGCTTCGCATCGGCCTAGAGAATCCTTCTATACACGAAATCCGAATAGAATATGTAAACAAACGAATTCTGTTCGAGCATTCGGTTTACTGGATTCTACTACTATAATCACCCATGGTAATCAACAACTGCCTTCTTTTTGCCTGCTGAGGTTATGAAAGTGTTTAGCTTAGCAGATTGCAATCAACTTGCCCTTTCGAGACTCTGAAGACGGCGAAACCACAGAAACTTGAGCTACTGTGAACAAGTAAGTACTGTAATAACAAGCTGGTATCTGTTCATCAAGAAAACAATGAATTACTGCTCGATGCTGAAGCTAACAGAAAGTCGGTCCTGGGACATGCTCACTCTACAACGTCTCCTTCTAGCACTCGTGCATCAGCACTGAGTTTTTTATATGACATTCAAGACTCTCGACGCAAACAGTTGCGGACCACCGTCAACATTGCGTACTCAACGAGTTTCTAAACGCGATAATTCGAAAATTTCGCTCCCTACACACTCCATCTCATCTTCAATACAAGATAAAATGAAGGTTTCAACAGATTCAGGTACTCCACCTGGATAAAATTTTGTTTTTCTGGAGCTCATTGGAGCGCAATTAAGATGCGCATTGCAGCGAAGATGTACTGCCTCAAGTTCGTGCAGCAGGCACGACAGTTTCTTAAGATTGTCGTTCCCTCGTTCGGTTCCCTCACATTTTTCCATGTCTGACTTCCACATATAACACTATGTTTTCTGTGGAGAAAGAAGTCACTCGACTGGGATGAGAAAGACATACGCATTCGCCGACGACACTGCCATCTTCTCAAGAAGTACCAACAAATCAGAGATGGTGATGATCAATGAGCTCAAAGAAGCGTGAAAAAGATCAAACTACGCATAAATTGGAAGAAGCCGCAGTTCGTGAAAAAAGCCATGGCGCAAAGGTGATCAGATCAAGTCGGCTGATTCTCTGATTTCAGAGACCACTTCGTTTGTACGAACATATATCTTGGACGTTCGATGAAAATGGGCAACTTTTCAGAACCTTTTTTAGTGGTAAAACAATCGTCGAAAGAATGAAAACCTTTCCCCACCTACTCCGAACTTTTTTTATGTCCACATATTCCTTTACGTTACATTCTCCTGTGCTAAATCCCTCTTCCCATGGCCGGATCCCTGTAGAAACACAGAAATACGTTGCAAAAAGAAAGACTTTTCAACCATTGATTCTCGGAAAACACGGAAGTTAAAAGGCTACACAAAAAAGAAAGTTATTTTGACGAAGACAATGATAATGAAAGAAGTAAGGAATTAAGAAGTAGAGAAGAAGAAGAAAAAAGGAAGGAGAAGGAATGAAGAAGAAGAAGGAGCAGAAAAAGTCCGCTCACTGAATTATACATTCGAATGACACATCATTTCTGGATTTGGACTTCATGCTTAACGTTAAGTTTGCAAAAAATAACAAGTGTATTCTCTATGTATTTCAAGGAAACTCTCATAAAGTCAGATATCCTTATACATATATTTGCAAACATATCAAAATTAAGGCTACTTACTCACCACTTAAACACTTGGGCGGCCCGTCCTCACTAGTTCTGTGGGCTTCAGTATATTGTGGATCAGAAGGAGAACTGACACCATGCGACTAGTTCGATACCAGAGCGGTGGTCGATCCTGGTATTATTGGTCTACTCTGAGCTGGCTTTGGAAACGCCGCAATACTTCTCAGTTTGGGAGACCCTGACGGGTGGATGAATCTCCAGGGCTGTAAATTTTAAAAGGCAACACTTAAAATAACCAACAAATTTCTGCCCATAAGGAGTAACGGAAGAACACTTTTTCTCTGCTGCGATTATGAACGGGTTTGGTTGAGCAGGTTGTGAATAAACATTAGGATAACAATATTTCCACTTTTTATTTTCTGCCTTCTATAATTTTTATGGTAGGGTATTAAGCGAAGCGGTATAAGCGATCGATCGAACTAGCCGAGAGACAGGCGAAACGAAAGACCCGCATAGTGTGGTGGTGAACGCGTTAGCCCCAGAAAGGACAATAGCGCGTTCGTTCCACACCGCAGACACCTGCGGTCCCGAGTTTTGCAAATATCTTAGCAATATTGTGGTTTTGTTAGGATAACAACATCACGTCTGCTCATCAAAAAATGTGAAGTATTGATTAATGCCGAGGTTAATAGATAGTCGGTCCTGGAAATTACTGGAATCAGTAGTAACATAGAATAGTATTCAAAAAACGTATTCGTGGCTGGGAGGTGCTACTGAGCTTCAGGCTGTGATGTACAACGGGAAGGTTCTTCCTCCAGCAGAGTCTCTCAAGCTGGGAAAGAGTCTGGCGTTTCCGTCAGGAAGCCCAGCCAAGAGTAAACCGATACGAGGATCGAGCACCGTTCTGGTATCAAAACTAGTCGCATGGTGGCAAACCTAACTCTGATCCATGGGGCGGCCGCTACCTGTGATGGTGACGACCTGGGGCAGACTTTGGTTAGGCAGACCTCGGGTCTCCGGAGAACAACAATGGCGAAACCACCAAACCTCCGAAACAATGGAAATTATGCTGGGACCTGCACAAGCAGTGAAGACGGGCTATCCTAGTACTCAAATATATGGTAAATTTAGAGGATGTATAAAAAAACCGAAAGAGAAGCCTGTGAAATTTGCCGAAGTTTGGAAATATATGACCTTTACCACGGATGGGTGAAACCCCTGAGCACGTCTCGTGTTTCTACTTTCAAGAATTAGGCGGTGCTCCTATGTAGCCGTACTGACCGCAATTGCGGTTTTTTACGCCTAGTAATGAAGTACATGAGTACGAGTAGTTTTCATCTTTTTCATACTTCTTCAGTCATCAGCTCGTTTCGATTCTCTTGCTCTTATTTACTAGCTTATTCTTCACTTCGTCAAACGCTTCTTCCGAAACTTAGATGGGTAGTTTCCAATCGATTACATGCGATTTGCAAACCACCACTTTCAAATTTCAGACCGTCTTGGACATCCCTGTTCCACAAAATATTGAATCTATCAGGATTTCTTGCTAGCACAAGATGACTTATCATTTATAGGTATCAATGAATAGAGCCTAAATGCTTTCGGCGTTAACCATGAGTTCGATTTCATCAGGCCTTAGAGGTGATCGATTTCGTATCTGGCCTTTATAGTGATTGGCGGTGGCATACCGATGTATCGAGCCAGTGCTGCTATCCTTCCAGACAAATCTAGTACCAATTTGCCGACCCCGGATGGATGAAAGGCGTGGTGGGCCATGGGCGCAGGGGTCGATTACACGCGTGTGTCGCAGTGGCGCCTCCAACCTGCGCCACACGCGCTCTCATCAATAAATAGAACACGGAATTTTTGCGATATCGATGTTGATTGACAGTTGTGACCCGAAAGGCATTCTTCCTCTAACAAGGCTCGCGTCCATTTAATAGAACGGATTTATCCAAAGACTTTACTTCGGTGACTTTTCACAATAGTTTGCAGTTCACCCGTTCATTGTTACGGGTGCATATTGTGCCAACAAGAACAAAGTAGCCCACCATTGTTATTTATTGGTACTTGGATGGCCCGTCTTCACTGGGTGTGCTAGCCCCAGCATAATTTTCACTGTTTCGGAGCACTGCTGGTTTAGCCATTGTGGTTCCCTGTCAGGCCAAATTCTGCCCCAGTTCGTCGCCAACACAGGCAGTCCCCGTCCTTGTGGATTAGATGGAGATTTGTCACCATGCGACTAGTTTGATACGAGGATGGTGGTGGATCCTAGTATTGGTTTACTCTTGACTGGGCTTCCTGAAGGAAACGCCAGACTCCTTCTCAGCTTGGAGAACCTTGCTCGAGGATGAATCTCCTCGCTGTAGGTCGCAGTCCGACACCCAGGAACATCTAGCCACGATGAGGTGGTTAACCGTTCGGAAGATTGTTATTGTTGTTACTGTTGAAATTGTTATTTCCTACCATCGAATGTGACAAACACATTAGTCGTTTTCGTAAAGACCGGCACAAAACGTCTTTAGAGGTTGGGTTTGGGCCTTAGTTAAGAAAAATGCTATGACAAAGTGCTATGGAGATACGCAGTTATGGTTTTAAGGTGACATAAAAAGAAGGTACTAACGCATTTTTTCCAGATAATGGCTGTCCTGACTATGGTAATGAGTGCCGTCTTGTCCACATTCGGATACGTTGCGTGTAGAAGTTTGATTACGGAATATATTCCGATATTTATTCAACGAAGAATGTACGGGAACGACCAGTGTAAGGTAAATGTGTACTGGAGTTTACTATTTACTGTTTCAGTTCTTCCCTTCTACTTAAGGAACTTAAGGTTTTCACATGTTTTCAGAAGAGCGACGATCCTGTACCAGAGCCAATGGGTGTGATCTGTGCGGCTGTTTATCTAATAGTTATGTTTCTGTTCATACCTTTTCCCTTTGTAGAATGGATAGGCTCTGAGTGAGTTCTTTCTCGTATTTACCACACATGTGGATATTGCCTTTTGTTTTTCTTCGTAGAACGCTTTTATGAGGAGCCGGCCTGTAATTTTCGACTGCAGCCTCAGCTTAACTGGGTTCAATGCCGATTTGTGCTCCTCAAATTAATCCTCGTGGACGGGTGGATTGCTGATGGCATTGGTAGATAGAAAACTAGCTGTGAGACAGGCGAAACGAAAGACCCGCATGGTGCGGTGGTTAACGCGTTAACCTCCGGAAATGGTAATAGCACGTTCGTTCCCCACCGTAGACTGCGGTCCGGTGTTTTGCAATTGAGGCTGGATGAAGTATGTCAAGTCTAGGCACTATTTCTCGTCTCCAATAGCTTTAGTTCTTGCTCTTTTCTCCACTTAGAGCTGTTTTGACGTATTCCTTAGTTTCCATTGTGCCATGCCTTATCAAATCACTACCATATTGGTATGGTTTTCTTGTATTTAAGGGTTACATTTCCATATTCAAAATTCCTCGCCTTCTTGTCTGGTCTGATTTCCATTTGTATGGCGATTTTGTTGGGATTTGCTGATGATGTCTTGGATTTGAGATGGCGGCATAAACTGATATTCCCAACTCTCTCGTCATTGCCCATTCTTATGGTTTACTATGTCTCAGGTCCGTCTTTTTTCCTCATTTTTTTAACCCTCTTTCCCATTGCAAGGCTATCACTGTGGAGGTCACCTCTACAATGTGATTGGTTGGTCTCATCCCCCGTTAATCTTAAATAAACCCGAGCTACCATTGCTAAAGTATCTACTTGCCCTAGTTGAATTCCAGAGTTTTAAACTGGCAAAATTTTCCGTGCTTGGGGTCTTTTGAAGGAAATCGAATCCTTTTCTCTTCACTTATTTTTAATGTTTCTGTGAAAGGCCTTGACTCTATCTACTGGGATTGTTAATTCAGTAAAGGAAGATAATTCCTTTCTTTGCTTCGGGTGAGTGTCGGTGTATTTCTTTAAGTGGTCCTCTTCAACTAATATTGGTAAAACTGGCGCTTAAAAAAGTGGACTACTGAGTTTTGCTCCATATCTGGGAGGAACTAAGCATTTGACTTCCACTGAGGCTTGGATCCCTATAGTTTAATGTAAGAAATTGGTGTATAATGTGTTGCTTTTAGAGTTGTTACCACTTTTTCTGCTCTTAATTGGTGAATGTAAAATTTTTTCTGATAATTACAGTCTAAGTACTGCATTTACTGATTTGCATATACCAGATTGGGTTAAGGTGTCTCAATGAAAACTCATAGTCATCGGTTATGGTCATTAGTTCGATTCTGCACTTCTGACCAACAAAACCTTCGCACTTAGGGTTTGGAGAATTAGTACTGCACTTTTCTGGGGCGATGGAAACATTGACTATACATCGTTGACCCCGTGGAAGTCATGCTATTTGCCAAATATGCGCTCACTCTGCGATGCTCAGTGGATTTGCATCCACGACGCGTCCGTCATTTTTGACCATCTCATACCATCGCTTTAAACTTGTCCTTTAATTATTGCTCGTTCTCAACTGAGTTTACTACGGTTTTCAAACCGATCGTCATTTAAGCTCGGTAGTAAAATAATCACCATGTGTATAAATTGCTGAGATTACAAGAAGTTGATAAATTAGTTTTATTCGGCTAAGGTTTCGGCGTCTTCATCTTCATCGGAGCCGATGATAGGAGTTGATGGTCCACAGTTGTTCGTTATCTCGAGAAGAGAGGGAACTATTTTAGGAATATAAAAACATTGACTTTTTGCGCCAATATATCCCCAAAAGTCGGACTACAGACTAATTAAGCATTCAACCACCTTTGCAAATAGAGTCAAATGCATAACGTATTCCTGGAGAATTGATGAAGACCGAATGCTTTGTCCTTTTTGTTTCGACTATGTACCATCCACTCGAATCATTGGCTTTAGGGAAGTCAAAGACGTCGAAACGTTAACCAAATAAAACCAGTTTATCAACTTCGTGTATGCCCAACAATTTATACATATGTTGATTTTACTGGGTTAAGTTCTTAAAAAAGTTTGTTACATTGGTGGTTTTAAAATGTTAAAGAACGGTGCTTAGGTAGTTCAACGACAATCGTCATCCCATCTGTAGTGCGAACGTTGTTGTCATCAGTTGTACCTTCATTTGTTGTTTCAACTATACCTGCTTCGGTTGATATCCACATACTCTATTATGTATTCATGTGCTTGGTTGTTGTTTTTTGCACGAACGCCATTAATATTTTAGCTGGTAAGGAAAAATGTTAGTATTTTTCTTTGTTTGAGAAATGTAGGAACCAGGTGGTTACTAGCAGTTTTACAGTGGTTACGATTTTCGTCTTTCTAAAAGTTTTTCATAGGGATGTGTGTAGCACAGTGGTCGGAGGTGCTCTGCAATACATATGGGATAGATCCCAGCGCCCTAGGCTCACCAAGCCTTCCATCCCTCTGAGGTCGGCAAATTGGTACCAGACTTGTCTGGGTGGATAGCAGTACTGACTCGATACATTAGCATGCTACTGTGAGTCGTTATAAAGGCTATACATGCATTCAATCTCTTGAACGATGCTTAATAAAGTCAAATGCATGGCGCATCCTTCAGAGGTTGACCAGCGCCGATAGCTCCTTTCATCCTTTCATCTTTTAATGATTTTTGTTATTCTTGATGTCCGATTTTTTTTTCGTTGTTTCAGTTTCTTCTTATTTCTAGGTGTAAATGGACTTGAAAGTGGACAAGCTCTCGTTGTGGCTTTTAGTGTGGTAGTTTTCAACATTGTTCAGGTACGCGGGTGAATCCGGCAAGTGTGTTAATTTTGACCAAAGTGATGTTCATTCGGTTTTTATCAGTCGTCAATTTAGGTCGGTCGTGTAGAGGAATGTTGGGATCATCAGTTGTCACTCTTCTTTCTTATTCCTTTTCTTGCCTGTACATTTGCGCTTTATCAATTTAACAAGGTGAGTACGTCTATTATGAGTGCCTTTCTATTGTAAAGATACTCTTATGATGTACTTCTGGGACATTTATGTCCATTTTACTTTAAGTATCCTGCTCGTGTGTTCGTCGGTGATACATTCTGTTATTGGGCAGGAATGACTCTTGCAGTCGTATCAATACTAGGACATTTCAGCAAAACAATGATCCTTTTCCTCATTCCACAGGTAAAGTGAAGCATTTATGATATGGAAATATGGCCTTTCCTTATTATACCTTATCATTAGTACAATTGGTCTAAATGATAAGCATTGTAGGTGCTTAATTTTCTCTACTCTATTCCTCAACTGTTCAAACTAGTGCCATGTCCAAGACACCGCCTTCCTTGCTTTGACGAGAAAACAGATACGGTATGTCTTAGTCAGCGCTATTAGTCTTCAGTCTTTAGTTATTAGGCTATTAGTCCTTAGTCAAGATAGCATTTGGTAACGTGAAAGCCAAAATGCCCCAACCTTTGAGTCGCATTTGCCTAATATCTCGGTAATGTCAACACATTCACGAACATGCTGGTTTTTCGGTACCAGTTGATAATTTCCTGCTACAAGAGAGTGTGAACAACTCTGAGACCATCTGAATAGCTTTATATTTATTTATGTGGTCTTATAAATTGATCTTCTTAAGCTGACGCGAGGTTGGTACAGATCTTCGTTGTCGTTGTCGTTGTTTTTGATGTTATTGATCGATGGCTGACGTTCCGGCGACTTCGCCTTCCTCAGAGCCGTGATGTTACGTGCGGGCGGAAAAAAACAACGACAACGACAACGAAGATCTGTACCAACCTCGGGTTAGCTTAAGAAGACCAGTTTATAAGATCACATAAATAAATATATCAACTATCTATGCCGAAGTTTATAGAAAGTCGGTTTTTCGAGTTATGAATAGCTTTAATTCAAAGGAAATTTAGGTTTTCTAAATCCAAATCGCAAACGCACAAATCGTAAAAATTTGCGAGACATGTGGAACACCGTTGCATCCGACTTTAGCACGTTTATTGAAATAACAGCTTCTGCTGCCAACAGAAAAATAGAAAAATGTATTTTATGAGCTGTGGAGAAGCCGAGTTCAGAGTTTCGGTTTTTCTTGCAGTCTGTAAATTTCATCATCAGCTAAGGTTTTTGCTCTTTGATGTAATATCTAATAGCTAAGTTAGTTTAAATTAAGTACGCATCGAAATATTTGCACATTAAGCATAATGATGCTGAGATAATTGCAACACTCCGGACCGCTGGTGTCTGCGGTGGGGACCGAACGCGCTACTACCCTTTCCGCAGGCTAACGCATTCATCGCTATACCATCCGAGTCTTTCGTTTCGCCTGTCTCTCAGACATGTTATTGACCTATAGGTCACCGTCAGCGGGATTGATGTGAGGAGCACAAATGGGCATTGAATCCAGTTAAGCTTAGGCTGTGGTATAAATCACAATGTCGTCACTTTTTATTTACTGCCTGTTGTTGTTTTCTTACTTGCACATTGTCACGAATGTCCTAAATTGACTAAGTACCGAATTCGGTGTAATTCAAAAGAAATGTTTCAGGTTTCTATGAGCAAGGTAAAATTCAAGAACTCCGATCTGAAACCATTGGGAGGGCTAATTCTTAGGCTGCTTTCCGCTTGTGGTTTACTGCATTGCAAAAAATTCGTAGTAGATAGCGATCAGTAAGTGGTTCTATAGTTTTCCTTCAATTGTTACCTTATTCTTATGCAACTCAGATCTGCATCAGTACTAAAAATCGCCTGTCTTTTCACTGGAGTAATCTTATTTTGCAGATGGCAAGAAATCAATAACTTAACTGTTATAAACCTAGTGCTGAAGTTCACTGAACCACTACATGAGAAAACCCTTACCAATATCCTTCTGTCTATTCAAATCGTTTGTTCTGTGTTCGCATTCTTCATTAGGTTCTATTTGGCCTCATGTCTATATGATGTTGTAAATTAATGGTTTTGTGTTGGATTTCTCTCCGCTAACGCCTTTCCAAATTGCTTGTAATTGTTGCGAGGTGTTTACAATCATCCAAATCTAGTCATCTGCGTGTTCATGGTTATGTTGTTGAGGTTTGTTAACTTTTCTTTTCGGGTTCTATTAAACTTGAACAGTTAAAATAAATCAAGTGGCATCCAGTGTGACTGTAGTCTTAGTACGTTTTCGTTTGTTTTTGTCATTGCATAGTTCAAGTGCCTTCCAATGGTTTACCGCCTCATCGTGGCTAGGAGGTATTCCTGAGTGTCGAGCTGCGATGTACAACTGGTGAATTCGTTCCACCAGTACGATCTCCCAAGATGAGAAGGAGTCCGGCGTTTCCACCAGGAAGCCTGCCTAATAGTGAACCAATGCCAAAATCCACCACCGCCCTGGTGTCAGACTAGTCGCACGGTGGCAAATCTCCCTCTGATCCACAAGAATGGCGAGTGCCTCTGGTGGCAGACTTTGGGCTGGCTTACCTCGGAACTCTAGGGAACCACAATGGGTAAACCAGCAAAGCTCCGAAACAATGGAAATTATTCTGAGGTCCGCAGAACCATTGAGCACGTGTCATCCAAGTATCCACGTACTTAAGAAGTGGCATCCAATGTGACTAGCCTTAATGTATTGTCTATTTTCATTTTCAGCGCATAGTTTAGGCTTGTAGTACGGTTCATATTTGTAGTCTAACAAGCTTCTGATATGTCGCGAGGTTGCGGTAATCGTCTTAGTAAGAATGTAGCATCGTCGATAGTTTTGCCACTCCTTTTCCAGGTGAGAACTACCGACCAATTTTTTTCGGTTGTCTCACAGAAATATCGGATAGGCCTACAAACTGTTCTTGCTCTGAGTTTGAACATCGTTCTTCTATGATTTATGAGATATAGTTTGGAAACGTTTGGTGGTGCCTGGCAGTTTCAACCTTTTTCGTAGTGAATATTCGTCGTTCTTAGTAGAGTATGATGTAAAACGCAGCTGCGAGGATGCTGAGATATCAGTCAGTGTCAAGACGTCTTCACGAAAGAGAAAAAACATCGGGAAAACTATTTTATACGGCATAGAAGCTGATGTTGTGATCTAATGCTCGGGCATTCTCATCATAGGGCTAACGCTTACACCAATAAGGTATGAAAAGTGCTGAAAAAGTGAGTCGCATACATTTATTTCAATGGATGTTTTCTGCTACATGTTTCGCCCTAACGAGTTCCCCACTGCACTTTTTGTACTCAATCGATAGCTGATGGAACATATGTGACGAAAGTGGTCTATCAAGACCTATTCCACACAATAATTTAAAAGAAACTCTTCATCGGACAAGTTCATTTGTATAATTTGGATCCATCATAGGTAATTGAAATTGTCCTGCAGTAGGAAACCGAAGTTTGATACTAAGAGACACTTTATGGTCACGATAAGGTGGCATCTTGTTAATATAGTCACGACCATGCCCTCTGAGTTTAGTGCATACTTACTTGGATGGCCTGTCTTTACTGGTTGCGAGAGCCCCAGCATAATCTTCCTTTCTTCGGAGTTTGCTGGTTTAGCCATAGTGGTTTCCTAGAGTTCCGAGGTAAGCCTGGCCAAAGTCTGCCCCAGGTCTTCACCACCACAGGCAGTCGCAGCCCTTGTGGATCAGAGAGAAAGAGAGATTCACCTCCATGCAAGTAGTTTTATACCAGGATGGTGGTGAATCCTGGTATTGGTTTGCTCTCAGCTGGTCTTCCTGAAGGAAAGGCCGGACTACCTGTCAGCTTGGGTGACCCTGCTAGGGTGATGAATCCCCGCTATGCATCGCAGCTCGACACCCAGTAACACCACCCAGCCACGATGAGACGATAAACCATTGGGAGGGTTTAGTGCAAATCATGCAGAAATAGTGGCGTTGCCGCATTCAACTTTAAATCGGCATATCTCAGCTCATATTGAATCTTATTAGTTGAGAAAAAACCACTAGAACCTAGCAGAGGAAGCTTTTCAAAGAAAACCATTAAGACAGACCGTTATCTACAAATACAAGTCCTGTTGTTCCAAAATACTGACTTTCTAGAGCCCACCAAACATTTCACTTTTCAGCGTAAAGGTTCATATTTTGAGCAAAAGTAATTAGAGAGGTAGGAATCTCTCCAGCAAGTCATTGTGGTACTTAATAATCTATAGCTGGTTCTCGTGGTAGTTATACTTGAATGAGAAATTTCGGAAATGTAAATTTCTGTATGGAGGTTTAAAGTTTTGAGAAACTCTAGTCTATAAAAGCTAAAATAGGAGGAATTTTTATACTGACTTTATATATCCTTGAGGCAATGGGACAAACGGTTCCTTTCTGGCCTAAACCCACTTTTCTGCAGAGAAATTGTTCTCCAGTGACGCAAAGAAGAAGTGTTACTTTGCACACCTAACAGACATTACTTAAATATAACTCGTATGAAATGCTGAGATATCTGCAAAACTCCGGACCACAGGCGTATGCAGCGGGGAACGAACACGCGCTGTTGTCCTTACCGGGGAGCAGCGCACTTCACCACTACACCATCCGGGTCCTTCGCTTTGCATGTATCTCAGCTAGTTCTATCGATCTTTTTTGCCATCAGTAATCACCCGTCAACGGGATTGATCTGGGGAGCCAATATCGGCATTGCACCCAGTTAAGCTGAGGCCTCGTTATAATCACAATCTTAACTCTTTTATTTACTGCCTTTTTCTTCTTAATGGCAGGGCAGGGAGTTAAGATTACTTAAATAGTTACTACGCAAACATTTACACTTCTTGCTAGATTGACCGATTAAACGGCTACTGTATATTTAATCGCTAGACGAAAAATAACCATTTTTTGTTGTTCGTGCCCCTTAATCCTTAATCGAGCAGGTTATCAGAGCAGCAAGGGAGGAAGAGGCTCCTAAGCGCGCTATAGAATGATTGAGAATTTCATCTCGTTGTTTACCTCATAGGGATTTTAACACCAGATTATCATTCTTGACAATTTCACAGACTCTAAAAACCTAGCATCTGTTAGAAATGTCCCTGTAGTCAAAGTTCGACATACTCATACAGTATATTCTATAACAATTTTGTAAAGCTATCGAGAAACTTGTCTCTAACAACAGCTCATACAAATATGTTATGCGCTACTAAAGTACGAAGTGCTCGGATAGCCACTGCGTGGGAAATTTGGAAGTGTATATCGCAGTGGAAACGTCTTGGTAAACTGTACGTTGTCGCTGTTGACAGCTGTAAGATGCTGAAATGATAGAAGATGCAAAAACAGATGAGTCAGAGTATAGTAATAAAGGACAAAACTCTCCGTATTGATCAACTCTCTATGGGATGTGCCGTGCCCTAGACTTCATCAGGCATCACTGGAGGTCACTTGATGCATGTATGCCCTATACAATGACTCGCAGTGACCTACCGATATAAGGAACCAGTGCTGCTATCCTCCAAGACAAGTCTGGTACTAACCGTCCCACCCTGGATGGATAGAAAACTTGGTTAGTGACTCCAGCGTCGAGATCGAGCGGACCCCATGTGTTGCAATGCGCCTCTGACCACTGCGCTGCAAGCGCTACACAGGTCACACTGTACATGTGCAGACTGCCCACCTAAGTATTCGTGCACGTAATCTTTAACCTAGAATACTGGTTTATTTATAATAATATATTTTTACACATTTTATATGTTGCTCCTGTCTGTCGCATCAAAACCCTAAGTGTACCAGTCCTCTGAGAAGTACATGGAAAAAGCCTACATGTTTTACTAATAAATGGTGATAGAATTAGTCCAAATTCACTTTTTATTGTAATAGAAGTAATCTTCTCTTTGTCCAGTAACAACGAAACACTATGGCATTCGTCGTGCCTAACAATAATATGTAAAAGATTGATGTCTTCTCAAAAGTAAACAGTTACGTCTGAGACAGAAAATTCAACCAAATCAAACAACAACAATAACGTCTTCAATGCATACAAGGATTCAGGTACTATGCACCCTGGTACAGATGGTTATACATGACATGATTAGAATGATTCTGATCATGTAACAGCTAATATGTCCGATATCAATGAAAATAAGGATTTGAGCGTGAGCAAACAAATACAAGTCACAACCAAGTTAATGTTGTAACAAACATTTCTCTCATAACTATTAGGAAAATCCAAATAAACTGTTCGCATAGACCATTGGCGGTATCATCGGATGTGGAACAGCTCCGAAACTGGTGAACTTCGGCTAAAAAGCCCCGTAAGTAAATAAACAAAAGCGAAACTAGCATTACAACAGTGAAACAGGTAGTTTTCCTTCAATGAATATTTAATCGCAAGCAACAAAATTTTTGAAAACTCACTGTCAGATTATCTCCGGTGATTGTGATAAAAGCTCCTTTATTGCCCATTTGATCACAATAATTCGGAGCGGAGAACACCTGTTCGAGAATGTAATTCTTTTCCCAAATTCAGATTGTCCCAACAAATTTCACAAAGGCCGATTTTTAGCTTATTTCAAAGTAACAGACCCGAAATTAAGTACTGTACAAAATATCTTACCGTTATACACTTCCCGCCGTGATGTACCTCATAACCTTCCGGCTTCACCTCATGGCTCCTGAACAAAAATTAAGAAACTTGCGATCCTAAAGAATTTTCTCCACATTGTCACCTTACGACATATTGAACACCATTCTTCGCAATCCATGCATCAGTGATATCTGGACCAAACTGACAGCCAACTCCCCGTTTAGAGGGTGCGCGACCACGCAGTTCTTGTGGATCCGACCTAGAATGACATTTATACAAACTGTTTTACCATCTTTTATTCACAGGCACTCCTACAGAATCTTTAAGTGTTTAATTAGCACATATGCGTAGAGAGACAACACTTAAATTCCGACCTTAAGAAAATGAAGACAACAGTTGTATGTCACGCGAGTTTAACCTTTTATTCAAAACTGCCCATTTTATTACAAATAGCGGGAAAGACTGCAAAAAAGGCTTAAAACAAACGTACCATAACAAGTCGCACATAATTCCTTCGTCAGGAGGTTGACGAACCCTATCAGTCTTTCGAATGTCGTCCAGAGTCACACCGTCCTCTTTGAACAAACCACCATGACAAACCTAGGAAATGATTCATATGATATTTCGAAAGGTTCGTAACTGCATAAATGACAACTAATTCATGCAGTAGTTGTATATGTCACAAACAAGTGCCTCCTAAAATTTGCATCGCACTATGGTTTACACCTGCGATGAAGCTTTACAACTACAAACTTTCCTGAAACTTACAAGGCAACTAGTGAAGAAGAGACTCACAAAAATCTTCCTATTTATGAGATGACACAATGGAAGCTGGCAAAAAATCTCCGTAAAGAAGTCAGCCATTTGAGAAGTATACTTCTTCTTCACTTCTCCTTCGAATCCATACATCTAAACGAAACAAAGTGAGGCATTAAATTTCTATATAGATTATTAGGTAACAATTACCTTGTTCATGACGTCACTTTCGTGATTCCCACGAGATAAAAAGAAATGATTAGGATAGAGTAATTTGTAGCTAAACATAGTAAAAATAGTCTCCACACTGAAGGAACCACGGTCAACGAAGTCGCCATTAAATAACTGGAAAATGCTTCTATACATTAACGTAAAGGAAAAAATAATCGATATGATATTCACGTAAAATACTACTCAATAAATCAAGAAAGATCAAAAAAAAAAACAAACGTATGGATTGGTCTCGGAAGGCAATCCATTAATATCAAAAATATTGCAGAGATCATAAAATTGGCCGTGTATGTCACCACAAATTGTGAAACGTTGCTTAGAAGGCACTTCGACTTCAACCAATGTTGGCTGCTCTTTGAAATACGCATATATATCTAACAGAATCTAAAATTTAGTCTATTGGGCACACTGTCACGATAGCTGTACTGCTACTGTTAAGTACTGTGCTATTGCACTACAATAATACCACCCTACTACAGTACTGTACTACTTCTGTTAATGTTAAGCATGACGGAATTGTAAAACTTGCGGGCACTGACCTTGAAAGCGTATTTCTTGTGCAATTTCCCTTGCTTCTTAAAAGTAGCAATCAATTCATTAACGAATTCCACACTAATAACTTCATCCAAATGAGGGCCATCATAGTTCTCCTCGACAACTGGAGAAAACATTTTCTCATCTCACCGAAGAATTAGAAGAACCATAAGCTAACCCACTCATTGTGGACAAGTCGATTGATTCAGATATGCTTTTCCTATCGTGGTCAACAGAGATAGCCCGTTCAAACGCGATTCTTCGCACGATCTTCTGACACTCGTCATACTTTCGTTTCGCATCGGCATCACTCGGTTGAGCTCGAACCACTGTGGCATAATCTGCTAAGGCTTTTTTGAACCGCGCTAGTGCCATGTTGGCTGTTGCTCGGCGATAATAGCCCTGAAACAAAGAATAGCACAGCCATTAGTATGGGTTCAGCTATCCAAAAAAAAATTTTAACCTTGGCATACGAAGGGTCAAGGCTTATGGCATTATTTGCATCTTCAAGGGCACTACCGTACAGCTCTTTCTTCAGATATGCCATACTCCTTTAACACAAGCCGATCAATTCTCAAAACAACGAAAAGTAAAACAGAACACCCACCTATTCCCGTATAAGACAGCTGTTGGGTGACGTTCTATGGCCATAGTATACAACTCGATGGCAACATCATATGCTTGATCTAAACTACACATAGACATACCTCAATGGACTGCAATAACACGTAGTCTTCAGGTGGAAAAAAATCAAGCTACCCAAATTTTGCTTCAAAGCCATTTCGAGTAATATAAAAACTAGGCATCACGTTTCTCCTCTTAAGATAACCAAACGCAATTGCTAAAGAACTGAAACAATAACCTTTAAAAAACTGGTTTGCCTCTTCTTTTATCCTCGATGCCTTCGCCTCATCACCGTCCAGATTTTGATCGCGAATACTCTCCAGTACACTAGCCACAACATCCTCCACCGATGCTGCCATCTCTGTACTTGATTTCGAAGTATTTGTTATGAGGAAAACTATCAAAGAAGACAGGTATACATGATTAAAATGCATTACACTTTGGTTATTTTTTATCAAACAAATATTAACGAAGTAGTTTATTCGACTAGTAAGTTGAAACTAAAACAATCTAGCTCTTCTTAAAATGAAAAATGGCAACACCGGTGGATAGGCGAGTTAAGGTTATTGAGGAAAAATGACGAAAAAGTAAAACTCCTTCAAACGATGCCGACGACACTACGCAGGCTGAAAGTTAAGGTTTTACTTCCATTCCAAGAGCGTGAACCATATGATGTAAACTGCATAATTAGTAATAAACTACCTTTCCCCACGATGTAAAACGTCAAATGCAAGATTCAACTCATCGAACTTGAAATTATGAGTGATAAATTCATCCAGTTTTATTTTACTCTCCAAATAATCATCAACAAGTTCCGGCACGCTGTCCACACTCTTCCAACCTGAAACGCCTTTTAATTATTGAATGTCTAAAAGCAGTCGTTTCAACCTTATTTTTCACTACGTTGAGCTCATTTTGACTGGACGACATAGTTAAGGTGTTAATTATAGTACAGCAATTGCCAATTTCTATTGCCATTGACTACAGTACGCACCAACTTCGAAACCTGTAGTTATGAGAAAATAATCAGCTTTCCGGCTCGTGTAGCGCAGTGGTCGGATGCGCCCTGCTATACACATGGGATCAGTCCTCGCGCTACAGACTCACCAAGCCATCCATCCCTCTGGAGTCAGTAAATTGATACCAGACGTGTCTGGGAGGATAGCAGCACTGATTCGATGTACCGGTAGGCTACGGTGAGCCATTGTAAAGGTCATATTTGCATTCAATCACTTCCAACGATTGTTAATGAAAACGAATGCATGGCGCATCTCTTAAGATTGATCAACGCCAAGAGTTTCACCAGCTTCATAAATGAGTTTTCAAGTCTAGAACAGCATATCTCGCCTAACAGCGAACTTTACCAGTTTCACTGAAAAGAGGCGACTCCTGTGATCAATTTTTTAATGAACATTTGCTGTGGCAAGAAATAAAAACAATACATATCTCATCTAAGTCAATTCAATTACGATAACAGAAAAAGAATTAATTTTTGACAAGGGTTCTATGAATACAAATACGAAAGGATAACGTACCGCCAAATGCAGATCCAATCCATGTTCTTCCAGTGACCAGTTGAAAAGGACGAGTCGAGATTTCTTGTCCTGCTGCGGCTACACCAATTATGCACGAAACTCCCCAACCCTTATGTGAAGCTTCCAGAGCTTGACGCTTAATTGAAACGAATAAACAACACAGAAAAACCGTCTAAAGTATACATTTTCTAAGAACGAGTCCCACTTATTCTTTCAAATGTATGCCACTACATGAAGATTCCTTCTCATCAAGGAATATAACTTTCAACAGACTTCCCGTTCAAAACCTTAGTTTTATAAAAAGAAACAAAGCATGAAACAGATGGAACCACATTATCGAAATAAGTAGTTAAATTGTTAGAAGAAATTTAAAACGCATACTTTTCCTTTAGTCGCGAAATGAATGACGCATTTTCGAAACAAATTCCACGGAAATATTTCAAAGTGGAAAACAGGATGAAGGAACCTAGACTGCTCAATGGTTATACACGCCTTACAGTATACGCGTGGTCACGGGTTCCACTTCACCTCAGGTCAACAAATTCGGCCATCTTCCTAGGATCAGAATCAGCTATCAAGCATTAGACTTGTCTGTGGAAACCCTCCTTCGATCTATAAAGACCTGTAAACACCTGTGGTAAGCTCGCTTAACGTCCTAGTAAAGTTATTGCAGAATTTCAAAGGAAAATCAATAGAACCAGGATCCAGCGACATCCATAGTGAAGACGAAATATCGAAGTGTGGGAGCACCCCAACCCACACGCTAACCCGAAGACTTATGAAAGACGAACTTAAGACAACAAACCCAAAGAAATATATATTGGGACCCGGATAACATGTGAATGAGGACCAAAGACATAAATAAACGAATAAATAAAAATCATACCATTGTGTTCACGTTGCCAATACACTCGAAAGTGTAATCAAAACCTCCATCGTAATTCTCCACGAGCCAAGTCTGCACAGACTTACCATCGGGTACTGACTTGGGGTTGACACAATCTGTTGCTCCGAAACGTCGAGCTTAAAAGTTGCGCACGTCATGGACACATCTATGAAGAAATTACCCTCACCAAGAAATAAAAAAAAGAACAAAGCAAAAATATTGTAGCAAACCTGCTTCAAATTTACTTTCCATAACATCAATAGCGACAATTCTTTTTGCACCAACTAATTTAGCACCCATTATCACGGCAAGGCCTACAGCTCCAAGACCCCAAACAGCAACCGTGCTACCAGGCTCTACCTGCACAAAAAATTATCAAGGTTTCGTAGGCCATTTTCATCAAACAACAAACGCCTTGGAGACCTTGCATGTATTAAGTACAGCCCCATAACCAGTAGATACTCCGCAACCGAGTAAGCAAACCTTTTCAAGTGGAGCTTTCGGATTAATCTGAAGATCCAAATTAAATTTGAGGGATGTTATGAGATACAGAAGGAAATTGAAGACCACGAAACAAAAAAAATTAGAACATGAAACAAAAGGCGAAAAACCTATGAAAAATTAGTTACATTATAAAAAAAAATAATCGGAAGTTAAACTCACCTTACATAATGAAATATCGGCTACGACAGTATATTCGCTAAATGTAGAACAACCCATAAAGTGATAAAGGCGTTTTCCATTACAACTGAATCTCGTCGTGCCATTTGGCATAACACCATTCCCTTGAGACACACTAAAATAATCACTTCAAAATGATCTTTTTGACAAAAATACTGCAGCTTTTAACATAGTCGCAAGGATTTACATTATATCAAATGCGTGAAAAAGGATAAAGTTCTCGGCGCTGATCAATTCCTGAGGGATGCGTCATGCATTCAACGTCATCAAGCATCATTAGAGAAGACAGAATGTATATTGCGACGATGACTTGTGGTAGCCTACCGATGTAGTGACCCAGTGCTGCTATCCTCCCAGACATGTTTGGCACCAATTCATAAGATTCCGAAGAGATAGAAGGCTTAGTGAACCTGGGGTGCGGGATCGATTCCATGTGTATTGCACGGAGCCTCGAACCTCTGCACTACACGCTTTAAATGCGTAAAAAGCAAAAATAATTGCCGCTTTCAACTTTAAACCAACACAATCTAGTTCACTGCCATTATTTGGCAACATAAACTCTTAATACACCACACGATGTTGATAAAGAGATTTATTCGGCTTGCATTTAGGCGCGTTCGCCTTCTTCAGAGCAGGATAGATCTGAATCGATTACCCACTTCATTCCTCCCTCCGATGTGTCCCTTCGTGATCGCATTGAGTCCAATCCATTGCAGATCACTCTACTGAAGTAATCTCGCTGGGTGGTTCTCTTTTATATATGACGATATTGATTATCCACTGATAATCGTTTGTTTTTCTCCACTCAGTACATCCTACAGCATTTGGCTTTGGCTCGACTCGAAACAATCTTGAAGACTCACATCGGAGGAAGGAACAAGTTTTGACAATCGACTCGGATCAACTCAGCTCTGAAGAACGCAAAACTTATCAATGAAAAAATAGATGTTAGCAGAGTAATGCCGAGGGCAGGTACAATCTGTTTTCCAAGCATGAAGATATGATTGTTTGGAACTCAAGAAACACATTTTTTTTAGTTTAGCGTTCCAAAACGCATCCTTGATTTTTGCGGCTGGAGCGCTAGCATGAGAAGTTCAAGGATTTCAAAATGTTTTTACTTTTCTTGGAAGTTCTTTAGTCATAAGTAAACCCGAAGTTAAAGGATTACTTTATGAAAACACTATATACCTTTAAAAGTAAAATAAAAAGACGTAGCTAAGCTGTTTATACACTACCCAAATCCTGCACAAGAATATTAATATTCGTAATGGAAAAAGAGGTTATTCCAGAAAAGAAGCGAACAGAGCAGTTCAAATCAAAAAAACTTACTTCGACACATTTTAACGAAACAGCATTTCGGTCAAACTGTTGTTGAACACGATTCTAACGAATGTTTTAAAAATTTCGTCAGAAAAAACGTCGAAAATTGTTAGACCGAAAGTAAATTGTCATTTAAGAAAATAAAGAAGCTTTTCTAGAAGCCAAAAACACAACAAACCGTATTTTCTGGCACAAGTTTGTTTTTGGATTGAGACAAAACTTGCATTCCTTACATTGTGGTACGTATAGTGGTATAACATGATCCCCTGAAATGAACATTATGACGGACAAAAAGAAAAAAAACGACACCAAAACACAAAGCGCAATTCGTTGCAAAATCCTTATAATTTAACAGTTTAACACAAAATAAGTAGAACTATAACAAGAAGTACAAAGAAAAAACTATCCGCACGCACAGGTTCCCCTAATATTTTTCAATAGCAATGAAAAACTTTCACCCCACTCTTGTTCACCTGGCTTGAACGCAGTGACTCCTTCTCCAACACTCTCCACTACGCCAGCACCCTCGTGTCCAAGGACAACAGGAAAAATACCTTCAGGGTCGTGACCATCAAGGGTATAGGCATCTGTGTGACATACCGCAGCGTAAAACACCTGAAAAGATAATTACAAAACTTAGGTTTCACATACCAGACAACATTCTGACAAATTTTCGCTGGAAACAGTAATTTCGAGGAAGAAAATTTACTTAGTAAAGACGCATAGTAACCAAATTCTATGAAATAGAAACGCTACGTGGTGAATCAAAAAGATTTCAGTTGTCGCATTCGTATTTCCCACTGTTTTACGACTTTAGAGAGAATGCAATTGAGCCCAAATTATCGTTTCGCAAACAATTTTGGTAAGTATATGTAGATGCCAAAGTGGAGAAGAACTTCTGCGCAGACGTATCGCTTGAACCAAGATTGAAATGAAGATCACATACTTTTATCCTAACTTCATGGGCTTGTGGCGGTGCCACGTCAATATTCTCAATTGATAATGGTGCTTTTGCTTCCCATGCCACTGCCGCTTTGCAGGCGATAACCTGGAATCTCGGTGTGAGCACGAAACCAACACTTCAACAGATAATTAGGATATGACGATTGACAAATTTAATAAAACACTTACCTTTCCTTGAGTATCAGAAATTTCCGCCATTACGCTAAAAAATTACATAGTATGGAAAATCGGCATGGCATCAACTGTTCAATAACATTAAACATAACGAGAAAACGACAAACAAAAGGAAAGCGGGTTGAGATACGAAAGAGGGATGGATCAAAATCTCTCTCTCAAAAAATCCCAAAAATCTTGCAAAAGAAAAAGAAAAAAGAGGAAAAAAATCTCAAAAAACTTATAATCATTGCATAAATCTAGTACTAAGGCAATAAAAACCACGCTGAAAAGTATCCTTCCTTGTAAGAAGTGAGTGAAATTAGTGTAAGGAAAACACATTCTTCAAACTATATATCGGTACTAGACACCATTTCCTGAGACAACAGGAAAAGAATGAACTTGTTTTATCCCTAAATTAACAGTAGAAAAACGAGTGTAAGAAATCCATCACTTAACGACTCTTAACAAAACTTATCAAACTGGAAAACACAGTTAACGTTCCAGTGTTACCACCCATTCGATGTGTGGTGTTTGTGGGAACATATCAACCGGCTGAATTGTCGATAACATGAACGGTTGACCAGCATATTTTTTGGAGCTGAATAAAATATATGCATGCTATTTAAGGTTAGAACGGATGTAAGTGACGAGATTTTTTAGCAGAACTATGAATCAGTGAATTAATTGATACGAAGAAACGCTGTCATGTTATTATAAAAGCAGAGTACCAAGCACTCCCATGATGTGGTGAATCTATGGAAATTTCACAAAGTATTACTTATTACAGAGACGTTATTAGTATACAAAAACAAATTTCCTAGACAATAAATAACCAGACTTACGTAGGACGGCAGAGGTCGACAATGTTTTTCATGGCAGCAGCTGGATCGCAAGACACAAAAACGAGGTGGCGTAAAGTCTCCATCTAAAATGATAAAGCTTAGCTTATTAGTTCAGTTTTTTTTTCTAGACCGATTCGACCCGGTAACATTTATGTTCATCATAATCAAAAAGAAACTGGAGCGTTGAACTTTGAAAAAAGTCAAATCTCCAGCTGGAATAAACAGTTCTGAATTTTCATAGCACAAAAAAACCTGACTTTACGTTGAGATTCTCATTCCAAAAGAGATAGGATTAATAGAATTTCCTACAGAATCAATGACATGATGGTACCTTGATGTACCTACCTTGTACCTTAATGCAGTGATGTTTGCCGTCTCCGGGCATATGTAAGTAATTTAAATCTCACCTCCAACGTTTTGAAAACATTGAAAACAAAACGAATTTAAAGGTTAACCATCATTTCAAAAACATCAGCTACACCTACACATAAACGATGGAGCAGTTTATCCTATTATGTAAGTTCGCCAAGTTTTCAACTCCCCAAGAATTTGGTTGTGGAAAAATCAACAACGGTCATTGGAAAAGCACAATCTGACTGTGGGTTTTAAACAAAATCACAATTTTCAATAAAGTTTAAAGATGACTCTAGAAAAATGGTCATTTCGGGGGCTTCTACTTATAACCACCAAAGATGATTTCATAACATGCAAAAGAGATGACAGTAGGAAATTAAATATGTTAGGATATCAGACGTGAATGGAATACACATTTTAATAAGCCACTAGCTATTTTATTCATATACTGCCCTCGAATATCTAACAAGAAGTCAGAAGATGCTGAATTTTTTCCTTATTCACAATTATTGTATATCACTTTTCTACACATCTACTGCACGTATCCCTGCACATTCACCATCCACAAAGGCCTTCGAACCTCGGTGTGTGGGTTCGGCACCTGCTTCGGAATTTATTCATTATGAGTGTCGTTGAATGCTGGTCAAGTCGATTCTCTCGGATTTCCGTGCTAGAGCAACCCCACGTGGATTGGATAGGATGAGCTAGTTCCAGACAAGTCTGGTACTCAGCTCACACCTCCGACCAGATGGAAGGCTTGGTGTTCACGAATTGGAGAATGGAATTGCTTAACCACTAAATAAAACGCGCAGTCCATTACTCCTACTAATATTACACTAGCACAGTCGCACCAAATTAAGAAAATTCCATATGGTGCGGTTCTTTTTGCTACGACAACTGTTGTGTAAACAATAATTTCTTCAGAAGAGAAATATGTAGTAACCATCATTCTTTTGAGTAATGATGCTCGATTAAAGCAACATCCCAGCATTTACACTACGCTGTTGAAGCGGAAGAGGTATGTCTGTAACATGGATAAGGATAAAAAGGATAAAGGACAAAGCTCTCGAAGTTGATCAGTCCTTTAAAGATGCGCCATGCATTCGACTTCACTAAGCATCGTTTAAAGGTGACTGAATGCACATCTGGCGTTCACAGTGAACTCGCGGTGTCCTAGTGGTGTATCGAACCAATGCTGCTATCCTCTCAGATAAGTCTGGTACCAATTTGCCGACCTTGGAGGGTTGGATGGCTTCGCGGGCCAAGGGCTCGAGAATCGATTCCATGTATATTTCATGGCACCTCCGACTACTGTGTCTCACGCGCCCCCACCAAAGGATACAGTGGAAATGAAACCAGAACCATCAATGTCGTTAACGAAAAAATGATAATGGATAGAACATAAATGGACCTATGAATGCTTATTAGTAGATAAAGTTAACCTTAGTTGTAATCAGTGACAACGTGAGTTTTAGACATGGTTCTTCGGACACTCAAATACTAATACTAAAATATATGTTTTAGACTTTACTTACCATTCGACATCCAAGTATAACTTTTTCGTGTACACCACACCTTGGGGGATCCAAAACCCCAACAATGTCCGACTTTTGTAGATCGAATTCAGGTGGAACATTGAATCGCAGTGATTGGAAGACATCTTCAGCTTTACCAGCTAGGTAACAACACCTTTAACGGACCTTTTATGAACAGATTTTCGTGCAAGAAAACCTCTCCACTCTGCATACAAAATACCGTTTTAATTATTTGGTTGATAAGACTCACTCGCACTGCTTGTTACAACGTTTAAATACGCGATTAAATAATGCAATAAGTAATCAAAATTATCATAGACCTAATATTGAATACCTGTATGGCCCCTCTTCACTAGTTGTGCGAGCCCCAGCATAATTTTCATTTTCTCGGAGTTTTGTTGGTTTAGCCATTGTGGTTCCCTGTAGTCTCGAGGTCAGCCTAGCCACAGTGTGTCCCTGGTCGTCACCACCACAGACGGTCGCCGCTTTTGTGGATCAGCGGGAGATCCGTCACCATGATTAGTTGGCTACCAGGACGGTGGTGGATCCTGGTATTGGTATATCCTTACCTGGGCTTCCTGATGGAAACGCCAGACTCATTCCCGGCTTGGAAGACCCTGCCACGGAGATGAATCCCTTTGTACATCGCAGCCCGACACTCAGGAATACCTCCCATCCAGGATAAGGCGGTAAACTGTTGGGAGGAATATTATGTAGTATACCATGTAGTACTAATCTTAGTTTAGAAATTTACTGAGTGTCAGGATCTACTATGAGATACAAGACTACACACATATCTCTTATGCCATTGACTTTAGCGTTCTCCTTGGCATCCGCGATCGCTGAGTCTACTATGTCCACACCAATGCAGTACACCTAAATACGAAACAACAGAATAAATAATAACAGCAAATGATATGCACCGAAAAAAACTAATGCGCTTACTCTCTTTCTTTTCTTGAACTCTTTAACAATAAACTGCCCGACAGTCCCCGTACCACAGCAAATGTCAAGTATAACAGTGGGCGTTTGGCCGCAATCTTCACTGCCACAAGATTTCAAATTGATATCAGGGGTCGTATCCTGAAAAGATAAATTTGCTAAACGGAAAAAGAATCATTCACCGTATAAAGGAACATGATTTCAGCCTCTGCGAAGATTATCTTGCAGAATGAGATGACCTCATCAGGCAACTGGTCAAAATGAGTTTGAACGAAATGAAGTGCATCAGGAAACGCAAACTGGTAATGAAAACAATATCATTTCTAAAGCTTAAAGGCACAGAAGAGGAAGAACATAAGTCATTACCTCTTCCATAGCACCACAACTAACGTCCAGTTTTGCACGCTTGGTGGAAATCTCTACGGTCTCAGAGCACCTACTATCGTTGCATAATGACAATCCACATGACTCTCCTAAATTTTTATGCGCTACAACTGTAAATGGAAGAACATATAATAATAAAAAGACAAAGCTCTTGGAGTAGATCAATCTCTGAGGGATGCGCCATACATTCGACTTCATTAAGAACCATTGGAGGTGATTGAATGCATATGTGGCCTTTACAATGACACACGAAGCCTACCGATGAATTGAACCAGTGCGGCCATGCTCGCAGACAAGTCTTCTACCAATTTTCCGAACCGGGAGAGCTGGAAGCCTTGGTGAACTTCAGGCGCGGGGACCGATCCCATGTCTTTTGCAGAGCACCTCCGACCACTGCGCTATACGTGCCCAGAAGATGAAGAAACATACCATTGCAACAAATTCCTTTATGACTTACCAATTGTAGTATACAAAACCGAGGCCGCCTGACTGTTTGTTTGAAAAAATGCGGAAGGAGAGACACGAAAGCGACAGTCCAAGAGAGTCTCGTAAATGTATGGCGCTCCTGCAAAGACCTTATGTAAGAGATAAATTTGAAAAAAGTGGTAAACGGAATTGAGTTTTATGGACATACCTTCGCCATAGAGTTTCACAACAAAACGGATTTTAAAATATGGAAATAACTGATCACAGATAAATGTAGATGTGAAGTTGTAAATGCATAATTTCTAATTATGTGGCCCCAGCTTACTTTCTCTCCAGAGTCTTCAGGATAAATATATTCACTTAATACCGAAGAGATACATTTTGGGCTGAGAAATTAGAAACTGGAATGCACCTGCAATGTGCATCAATGTGGTAATGTAAATGGGTCAGGAAATCAACATGAGGAAGGCCTCCGGAGGTAAGCAGGAGGAAATCACTAGTGGGCGATGGATGTAGTAACGAGTATAAGGAACAAACAACTCCATGCCCAACAACTCAAGTTTATACCTCTCCTTTACTTAACGTACGCTTTGGATGCCTGAGCGCTAGGTTAAGCAGAGCGAAAAATCTGTCAACGTTATCGAATGAGCTGCTAAAAGTACGACTTTCACGCAAGTGATAGTAAGCAATCGAAGGCCTGACCTACTTTAGCTATCAAAGAGTAGAAACACCGCCGCATTCGTCAAATAATCAAGAAATAGGTGGTGGTGCGGTTGTGCTTAACAGCCGTTAGTGACTAGGTCTCAAAATATGGAAAGCACACAGCAGGAACACAAGTGTACATATGGTCAGCTTTCTTCGTGAAGACCTTAGAAGAAATTATTCGAAATGTTCGGGAGACCAGAATCCACAGGAAAATACTAACATTTAACAGGACAGCGATCAGAAGTGATATATTGTCGCTTTTATTGATTCCAACGTCAAATTTAACAAGTTTAGTTGAGAGGAAGGTCAAATGAACAAAAGTTTGGTTTTAGAAAGTATGATATGGTTTAAAGGTAGCAAGTGATATGTCGCGAAGAGGCTAAGTAAAAAGCGTTGTTAATAGATCGATTACAAACTGAATGTAACACACTTAACAATTTCTAGCCTGTTAAAAGTTCTTATACTAGTTAATGTTCACTAATTGTAGCTGCCCTCCCAAAGGTTTACCGCCTCAGCGTGGCTGAGAGCTGTTCCTGTGTCGGACTGTAATGCAATGCGGGGTTTCACTGCCTCCCTCAGCAACATTTCCAAGCTGAGAAAGCTGGACGTTTACAACAGGATGCTCAGCTAAAACTGAACCAGTATCAAGAATCACCAGCCTCCTGGTAGCAAGCTAGTCTCAAGGCGGTAAGTCACCCTCGATCTACAAAGGCCGGCGACTGCATGTGATGGTGACGACCTGAAGAAGGCATCGAGTAAGGTGACCTAGGGAATCCAGAGAACTACAACCAGTAAGCCAGCAAAGCTCCAGCCTCAGTACCCCGTACAATGGAAGCTCCCGTATACAATGTCGGGTAGTGAGACAACCGATGAGGGGCGACCAAAGCTCGGGTTGCACAAGACGTCATCGGAAACGGACAAAACGAGCACCACTCACTCCACTACATGCCATGGGGACTGCTTATTGCTCTGCACATATAACACTACAACAGCCACTTCAGACGCTTAGCTTTCAGGTCTCCTTGAGGACACTACCAGGATGAAATTCCATGCTATCGCCCTATAAGAAAGAAAAAACAGGCAAGAAGACCAACATATGAGAGCTAAATAACGGGTCTCCTATCACTCCTGGAGGGGAATCTCCGTTTTGAAATACCGGAAACGTTGGCTTTATTGCACATCCATCTATTCCCAATATAGTCACTTCATACGAAATCCCATCACCGCGCTTATCCTTTCTTCGTCTCCAACTCACTCGTCAAAAAAAGTCGGTAACATCAGCTGTACTCGAACTTGTACAACTGATGAGAGTAAACATGACGCGTTCTACAACAAGTTGAAGGGATTAATGCGCAACAAGAAGCCGTTCTCATAAATTCGTTGCTGACGACTTCAATGCTAAATTAGGAACGGCCAACGAAAATGAGTACAGGATAAGAAAATCCGGAATAAGAAAGCGAAACAAGAATGGTGACAGGCTTGCAGTACTCCTGCGAGCAGTACTTCTTTTCCAATGTAGTTCATTTTTAGAGGACAGAAAGTTGGCGACGAACATGGGAGCCTCTTAACGGCACGAATTATACGGAAACTGATCACACTCTCATAAACAGAAAATAGTGCGTCTTCAACCTAAGTTCTGTATTGGAACTGATCACCGACTTTTAAGTGGAAAGATTCCATTCAGCCATATGCTGGAGAAGAATTGTCATCGTCCAATCGTTTAAAAAAAAGAAAACAAGTCATGAATGACGAGGATATTCTCGATAAAATCTCTCACAATTGGCAGATAAATGAAGACTTTACCGAAGACTGTACACTGCTTAAAACTTGTGCCGAATTGGCCTCAGTTCCTCAAATAAGAAGTTCAGACCGCATCTTCATTACCACTAAGGAATTGCTTGAAAAGAGGAGCGCAATGAAGCTTGATCCTACTGCCACACAGTTAACAAGTCTGATAATGTCAGCGGCAGACGACCTTTCCAGGATTTGGATCGGTATAGACTAGAAAAGTTATTGGAAGCACCTCAAAAACGATCTAGTCTGAAGAAGGGCCGTCGGAATCTGAATGAAGATGGGAATGTCTAGCCATGATATGGAACTGATAACGGGTAAGTTCTATACCAGTCTTTCCGCTCCAAAACCACCGTCTCGGACCAAGAAAACCTTACTCGTGAAATAACGCCCGGAATTCTAAATTCTGAAGTTCGAGATGCGATAGAAAGCATAAATAGAGGCATATTTTCAGAACTCGGTAACATCATCGCCGAATTCCTTAGAGCTGGGAGGCACAAATTACATGTACTTCTCGCAACCGACATGACGTCTCATCTTCAGAAAGAGAAACTCCCAGAACAGCGAAGAACTGCATACACTGTCACTCTATAGAAGAAAAGGAACTGAAAGAATTTTCACAATTACCTTCTAATATGTTTGTTGAGTACATTGTACAAGCATTTTACGAGCAGCATCCTTTTGCGGAGATTGGAAACCATGAATCAGGCACAATCAAATGAGCAAGCAGGATTACAACAGGGATTCCACTGCATAGAGTATTACTGGTCCCAACCTTTATCGACTACGAAAATGCGTTTGCCGGCATCCATACGAATGCAATCCTATCAACGCTTGTTGATCGAAGAGCAAAATAGACCTATATACGAACTCTAGTTGATTATTTTGAGAACTACAACACAATAATACAGTTTTCGATTGACCCCAATCTAAATCCACGAGAAAAAGGGGCACGAGATGGCGACACAATATCAACAATATCGTCAAAGGTGTTTACTGCTGCATTACTGGGATAATGAAATCACTCCACTGGGACGAGAAAGACATACGTATTGATGGAAAATTCCCATCGAATATTCGTTTCGCCGACGACACCGTCACCTCCTCAAAAAGCACCAGCGAAGCATAGACGATGATCAACGAGCTCAACGAACCAATAAGAAACACATGACTGCGCATAAATAGGACGAAGGCTCAATTGATAAAGAACGCATGTTGCGAAGGCGATCAGATCGAACTGGATAGTTCTCTGATTGCACAGACAACCTTAGCCATTTAATGAAGACGGAGAACAACATGAAGGAGGAACTAGACAGAAGACGGAGAACAGCATGGGCCGCATTTGGGCCTCTGAAGGAAGGCAACAGCCAACTAAAGGACCCGAAAATCCGCGCTCACCTGTTCGATTCATCAGCCCTCTCAGCACTCTATAACGCAGCATAGACGTGTGCTGATGCTTCAACCACGTCAAGAATACCGCGCAACACCTATAGAGCGCTCGAATGATGTCTTCTGAAATTTCACCGGAAATCACGTCTATGTGGAAGTCAGATCTCCGAAAACTATCCTATCTTCTGGATCAAGGGAATATATATAGATAGTGAAACACGGATGCGCCGCTCGCATAATTATAAGAACTAACGACAGATGAACGAAAATAACAGCGCAGGTGGCCCGAACGGAATGCAAGCACCCTATTGCAAGACCCACACAAACGATGGGCGGACGTGCTCGTGGCTAATGCCAACCATCTGAATTCGCAGATAAAAAGATTGCAGGAAATCAGAATGCGACTTGATGACATGACGATGTTCGAAGCAGACCATTACCAAAGACTACGACTGTATGAGAGAGAAACGGATGGAAATTACGCTCGAGTCCGTACCACCAGCGAAGACGGGCCATCCAAATATCCAAGTATGTGTAACTGCTCATAACAATTACCTCCAATATGCTCGTAATCCACTTTATCACTGCAATTTGCCACGGAATGCCAATATATCGATGTCACTCTAAAGCCATCATCCAAAAACGTAGAACGACTTAGAAACCTAAATTTGCACAGTATAAATGAACGAACATCAATAGCACTATAACTGACCAAAGAGAAAAGAAAACATTGACCATAACGACTGTCCGTTACAACAAAACATTCACCACAACGCTGTACTTTGTCAACCCAGAAATGTTCGTAGCAGACTTATGGAACAAGTTTCTCATCACTGCATTACCACTCATATGTGCATATT